AAAGTAAGACGACTTCTTCTTGGCTGAAATTCATGATGAATTAGGGTAGCATAAATGAACTTCAATAAAAATAGGGCCAAAGTTAGGATAGGCCATAGTTTCGGTCTATTCCAAGCGGGAGCGCCAAGCAAGCGATGTGGCGCGACATACCATGGCAAAGAGAAGTCCACACTCAAGTTTTCTGATTCGGAGTTATATACGTCGTCATCCAGAGTTCGTAGGCGTGAAGGCCGAGAGAACTGTAACTAGATTCTAGAAAAATCGAATTGAAAAAATCAAACTAAATAAATCGCGAAAGGGAGATTTAAAATTGGCTACAATATTTGAGAATTGTAATTCAACTTCGACCTTATGACATAAAACCCATTGAAATAGATGAGATTATGGGTGGATGAATACTGCTACGACTCATTCTTCTTCGCACCTTGTTAAGGATGTCTTCCACCTATTGTCTCACCTCGGTAAACCTTCCTTCCTTCCTAACGCAAGGAAGCCTTACCGAGGTGTGAGGCGACTTTAAAGGCACTTTCCGCAATAAACCAAGGCTATAACCTCTAAAATGTGTCAGATGATCCGGTAGTAGATTGTAGAGGTTGCATGGCATTAAAACTATGGCACGCAAAGCACAGTAAACTTCGATTTGAAGTCCAAGGAAGTCCATGCTGGCCTACCTTGTCGTAATAATGCCGTTGTGCTCTCTCGCCCGTCAATTTCTGGTCTCTCTCCGCGCTTTGCAGTGTATCGTCACCTTCTGCATATCACTGTTGATCTTGACCATCTTACTCTCGTCCGATGATCATGATCAAGTGCAAGGAGGAGGGTCATATTGAGGACGGTTTTTCATACTTTTTTCTTCACTACTAAGTCAACTAGCACAATGCACTCCTGTTTTTGAATTCCGTTACCTACAATGTGCGGTCGCGGGAAGTGTCTTTAATCAATTGGAGGTCACTGAACCATCCCTGTCTTCATAAATCGAGGTAGAAAGTTTGGGAGCGCGGGCTGAGAAAAAGCCACACGATTAGGGTACTCAAAACTAACTTAAGAAAAACTTATCAACAAATTGCTATTATTACGCTGTGAAAGTGGATGACATTACGTTCATCTGTTGATCGCTTACCACTAAATAGCTGACGTTCCAGGTTTTAGATTCTGGCGTAAAACTGATGCAAAAAATTCAAAAAATTACATATGAAGAACTAACAAGTCTGGTGAAAGCTGTCTATGGTGCGGATAAATTGCCTCCCACTCTGAGTAGGAGGCATCTCTAACAAGAAGCAAAAAGAAGGAGTCGTGGCAGGATTCACTGACATAGAAATTATAACATAGTCATTCAACCGGTATCCTTCAGTTTAATACTAAAAGGCTGAACTCAGCATTCATTCTAAAAAGAGCAACTGGTGAGTTATTTAAGGATATTTGAGCATTGAAAAGTACAGAAGCCTCATGGGTGGGATGCCACTTCTATGTTGCGGCGATGCACGCAAATTAGCGGTGATTCGTCAGCTATATACTTCCACGCCGAACCACGTTTTGGTGCGGATGCCGCGCGCGAAACCTCGCTTGGAACGACTTTTCGCCGACTTCGCAGCAATGCAGAACCAACGAACCGCATCAAAACCCTCTCCCAGGTTTACATAGTAGGACGGAGATGATATTCGAGTTCTACATGGAACTGCAGAAGAGCCAAGCATATTTACTCTGTATAGTTATTACCAAGCAAAGGTAAAAATGTCTGCGAAAATGTCTTCAGCAGTAACTATTCTGGAAGGTAGCTGATCTTAACAGACCTCCTCACAAGGCGGAATCCAGTCCTGCAGACTAGGAAACTGGGCAATGGAACCTCCTCCTCAAAAATATGCTGTGCGTTGATCTGAGAAGTAGATCCGTACCAGTGGAAGGTGAGCTGATCCACAGCTGTAGAAGTGGGCTTCTGTCGTGGAATGAAGTTTCGCAAAGAATGAACCTGGTGCCTTGAGGAGGGTGCATGTTGTTTGGGTCCCCACCGGAGATCTACAACATGCAGCACGAGCGTGGATGCCGAGGTCACGCATCCCGAACAACATGAACGGCAAGCTGTCTAGTACGGCAAGCGCTGAGACAACTCCACATATGCGAGAGGACGCAGACAAACAGCGCGATTGGCTTGACAAAACATACAGCTGATAGTGCGACTTGTCACGTTCTGCGCGGGTGCCTACAAGTTGAGCTCCAAAGTGGTATCCAGCTACCATTATCCTCCAGTGCACTATTTCCGCGGGGCAAGGTAATCGTAACTTGCCGCGCTAGTGGGCGTCGCGTGCGGCGTCGCGCCCGCTAATGACGACGATTTTAGGTGATATTGGTCGAGAATAGACGATGTATGACCAAGAATCGAAACAAGTGCTTACCATCGCCTATATGAAATCCGATGCTCCAATCGAAAGGGTAGTGTAACTTGAGGAAACGTCGCGCCCATTGCCGTGCGCGACGAAGCGGCAACTTACGATTCTCTTGCCCGTCTCCCATTTCCGCGCACTTCCATTTGACTAGCAAGGCACACCTCTGTAGCTGCGAACCCGTCCACTTGGCACATGGCGCAGAGCAGGATCCTCAGGCTAAGTGTGAAGCCCATCTTTGAGCGTCACTGTCAACTTTGGAATATGCTAATTTATTTCCGTGCGACACTGCTCATCGATCGAAGCGCTGGCACTTGGTTACATGAGTGCATGATATGAGACGACCCCGTGGAAATGTTACGGAAACCGAACGTTGATTTCACACTGAAAACAACCCGCTTCATTCCTAGGGGTTTCATCTTCCACAACAGACTAATCTGAAGGTACATTTGGCTATTTGAAGGAAAATTGAACCCGCATCCTATGCAGGTAATCTGGGTTTCGACTAGCAATGGATGTGTCACTTCTGCGGATTAGTGGTGCGCAGAAAGCGGAATGAACTCTCATCGTTTGAGTGCGTAAGGGGCCCATTCTCCGTCCACGTTGCCCTTGTGCTCTAATGGAGGCTTGCGACTATCAGTGATAAGGCATGGTGATGCAGGAAGTGATGAGGAGATGTGCGATGAAGGCGATGTGACGGGGGAAAAAACTTCGGCGCAGTTCGCCTTGAGGAAGGGGGCGATTTGCCTTTTTGCAACTTCCCATGGCCTTGTCAAGTCATCAATTAGAGATCAGTGAAATCTTGTGAGGCCATGAAGTGTTGCCAGTTAATTTTTGTAGAGTCCACTCGTCAAACCTTGTAAAGAAAACATGTCAACTCTTGTTGAGCTGTGGACATGGCGATGGGAAGCATCGAAAGTGATTCCCAAAGTGCGCCTGAGGAGACCTCATTGAAGGCAAAGCCTCGCGATCATTCGCCATCACAGATAGTGGACTAGGAATTCGCATATAGACGAGAAGGTTCTGAGTAACTCGATAGTGAAGGGAAAAGCAGAAAAAACATGCCAGCTGCCCTGGATAGAACCTCATTCCGATATCAGATGGACGTCCAGTTACCTCCATCTTCAACATTGAGCCCTTATCCGCACAGCTGATTTCCCATAAGAACTCTACGACCGTACAAGTGACGATTTTCATGCTTTTTCGTCCTGCAGCTTCGTTTTTCACTGAAAGGTGGCCTTGAGGGTGGAGTCTGGAGGCGGAGCCACTGGAAAAAAAGGAGGCGTCATTTTCTCGCGAAAGCGCAACAAGGTTGTTCCTCATGGGTCCCACTACACTCCCGATGCCATACATTAAACTTCTATACCTGATAGCAGACTGTACCTTCAAAGCCTTTGACAGTTTTTATTGCCTTTTTTCTCACTGCAGCTATCGTGCATACTTTGATTTTTCAACCTCATTATCTTCGACCTACTACCTGTGAACTGTGCCTTTGGAAAACGTTGAATAGATCCGAGTGTGAAAGCGGGTTTGCCACATAGTTTGGTATTAACTGAGCGAACGCACCATGGAATCAGCAGTATCACTGTCGAACACTTCATCACCAGCACGAGAAGGGGGCGTGGCATCCCATAACTTTAGTGAACCTTCATTGAAATCGTCGGAATACTCAATAACACTTGCACGTCGTTGCATTCCACCGTAACCTGAATTCACCAATTTTTATAACTGTGAACTGGAAAATCTTGTCAATATACTGGTTTTAGGTGAATCTGGTTGAAGAATACATCAAGTACACTCAATATCCCTGAGATAGAGAAGGCGGGCGTTTGAACATGGCAGAGGACGGGTTACTCGTGGAATGTTTCAATCTGAGAAAAATGTCATCTTTTTCTAAGTCGCATAAACAGGGATTAAAACGGTCCCAAAATGAAAATGTCACACGAAAACCTTGCCCGCCGCCTTGTTCAGTTCAAGCCCGCAGCCAGGCCTACCGCAACTCGGGGATTTTGAGTGTATGCATCGTTTTTTGCCTAGCTTCCAAGCCTACCCTTTTTACCTCCTAAAGACTTACCAAGGGATTGGTCCTTTGAGTCCAATCCCTTGGTAAGTCTTTAGGAGGTAAAAAACGCTGTGATATGCACTGGCTGGATCGATAGATCCCGCAAGCATTGTGCAAGCCAGACTCGCACAAAAGCAAATTTGAATGAAAGTGACACGCATGGCGTATAAAAAGGATTAATCAAGGCCGAGCTCTTTATTCTCTGTTGATGGCGGGTGCTCGTGACTACAATGAAACACTAGTGAAAAGGCGTCATGTGCCAAAATTTCAAGTATTCACTGAAATCAGCACTGCGCATGACGGTGCACGGGGCATTATCGAGACGTTGATCATCTTTGCTAGGTAGCCCCCCACCCCTTCCTCCTCGTACCAAGAACACCCTAGAAATTCCCTTGAGCGAGGGCGGAGCGGGAGGAAGGAGACACCACTGACAGTCAAACACAGCAGAAAAAATAATCGTAGCGTCTTTGGAAGATACACTCGAAATCCCTGAGATGAGGTAGGCGTGGCTGCGTACTTCAACTAAACGTGGCGGTGGCTGTGCTTTTGGAGAGATATTTTCATTTTGACCAATTGTGGTCGTGTCTCTGTCCAACACAGAACAAGATGACAGTTATCTTAAACTGAAATATCCAAACCCATTCTATGCCATGTTCATGCCACGCCTACTCCGCCTCAGGGATAAGGAATGTATAAACTGGAAGTATGCATAGCGTGCCTAAAATGGGGAAAATAACCAACCAGTAAGTTTCCCCGAGATCCAATACAAACATCTCACCAAGCGACCATGTACGGCTTGCACTGGGGACTCCCAAGCGATGGATCCCCTGATATCTATCCACAACCTCTCAGCTCAGCAAGTCACGCGTAGACTGAATGTGTCTCTTTATTGGGATGCGCATACCACCTTGTTCACCTTGGATGCTGGGGCGTGTCAACGGTTATCCCTTTGGCGCGGAGCCAAACGTTTTCCACCGATTTTTGTCACTTGTGTGATGATGCGCTCCAATTTTTATTATTTCGCTTCTGAACCTCCGCATGAAGTGTTACTGGTTGAGATAATGACACGACCCCTCTGTGACGAAGGTTTTCAAAGATTTACTGCGAACAGAATAAAGGCATTTGTGCTAGAACCTACAGTCGTTTTCGCTGCAGGCGTTGGGGCGTGTCAAGAAAATGGGATTAGCGCAGCGCTAGCCCGTTTTCCACCAAGAGTTGAAGCAGACACGCGACAACAATTGCTGGAAAATGGGGTTGCGCCGCCTCAATCCAACCTCCTGCCACGCCCCAGCGTCTGCGGTGAATACGACTTTAAAGGCAGTTGGCACGATGGTTTCCTACTTCGCCTAAAATGCTAGTAGGGCGCTATATAGTGGGGAAATGGCGAAAGAACGGAGTGAAACGGTCAAAATCCGGCGAAGAAAAAGCCTCCGTTCTCAGTGACTTGAAAATCGATTTCGGACGAGTTTCCCGTAGGCATCTTGCCAATCACCGCTACCGAAGATACGGCTGCATATGTGTACCCATATGCATGCAGCATCACCGCCGCTTCATACCAATCCCTTTGCTTCATAATTTGCTCAGCAAATGAATGAATACGAGCGTCAGAAACGGTCGTCCGTTTGTGGGCGGGCGGGCAAGGAAGGCGTTTGGGACGTAAAGTTGTTGCTCAATAGGGCGTTATAGAGGTACCCTCCTTGGAAAAGGCTTCACGCAGCGCCTGTCCGAGGTCACGGAATTCTGTTAAGCCAGTTGTACAAATCCTACACCTGTATAGCGATTTATCGTGCCAACTGCCTTTAATTGTTTCAGCATGGCAGTGCTGCAGCGACGTAGAGTAAGTAGCAAGGGATTACTTTCACATTTTCTATGTCAAAGTCACGTGAAAGTAACGTTCTGCACCTAGCGGGATGTCTCGTTTACTCAGCCTTTCTGGTAATGTTTTGACGTCATAATACTGACTTCAGAGGCACTGCGGTATGATTCGCGATTCCAATTAATGCAATATGAGGGTCATGGTGCTTGCCTAATTTTTTGCCTGGTCTACTTAATTTTTCAGAAAAGGTCTCTTAGCTTCTAGGGGTTAGAAATAGATACAGAATCTCAAACAGATGAAAATGCCAGACCTCTGTTCTCGCCTTCAAGTACCGCCTTTTTGAATCCATTGCAAAATTCATCTTTATCAATTCTGCCGGAGCCATCAGTATCCAATTGGGCGAATATGAATTCAATGTCCTGAAAGTGACCGCGCTGTGAAAATAAATCGATGATTCGATAGAAATGTACACATAGGCGTACTGGGGCCGTAAGGCCGAATGAGAGATTTCTTTGAGTGGTCAACAAGAAGAACGACCAATCACAGACACCACTCCCATAGACCAGGATCGGGAACGCTGTGACTGGTCAACACAGAAGAAGGACCAATCACAGACATCGCTCCCGCAGGCCACGATTATTAGTATGCGTCATTTTCCAAGACTAAGAACAGTGGTAGGGATACATCACTGGTTACCTTCTGATCGAGTTGAGGACATATGTGGTGGAGGTCCTGCATAGTTAGATAGCCTTTACCCTCGGGATCGCATAGTTTGAACAGTCGTTCCACTTCTGAGGACATTACAACCCAAAGATCTTCGAGCGAGAAGTCTTCCACGCTGTCGTCACCTAAGACACGTTACTCTTTATCGCTGAAATTACCAAGAAAATAGTAAAGAAACAATGTAGATCTGCATTGGAGGAATACAAGTAAACTATTCAAAATGCAAATAAAAGAGGATAACAGGTACTGAGAGGTCTACCGCCAGTTCAACAAAAAAGAGAAGGACATTCGAAGGAACTTACACGACATGAGGGCCCAGTCCTGAGGTTTAGAATTCGTACAAATCGATTTTTGGGATGCGATCCTTCACGAATGTGAAGACGGCAATAGAAATGCCGTGCACATCTAATGTATTCGTATTCACGTTTTGTTGACGGGATCTTCATTATAAAAAAATCGATTGAACCATCTCCGAATTAATGCGATATTTTAGCGCTGCTTTCACAATCGTCGTCATGTGTATGACGACGAAACTGTTTGTACGTCGTAAATTGAGCTGTTTTTATGCACGAATCAAATCTATGTGGGCCTTCCCGGCTGCTTCCCAACTTCCATTAGTACTTATGACATCATAAGAGATCTTGGAAGCAATACTGCTTGGGGGGAGCGGGGGGCATCCTGCACCTCTCTACTTTCCATTATCGTATCGATCGCTTTGAAAGAGTTGACTGGTATTTTCTACAGCAGGTGAAAAGTTGTTTGCGCAAACTTTTAGTGGTATCACTTCATGGTATTACAAGGTTTCACAGATCTCTACTTGAATGGCTGACACGACAATGGGACATAGCGGAAGTGGAAACTGCCCCCCCCCCCTCCTCGACAGCCGAACTGCTGCAGATCTTGGGCTAAACACTTTTTAGTAACTCGTTTTCAGATTAACTGCTCCACAGCAGTGCCTACGAAATTTGCTCAACCGCTACTACCTCAGGAACTCAAGGAACTCTCTATATTTTCTACTTTGTCTATAGAGGCTACTTGGTGCTGCCGTCGTGAGTATGACATTTTTTCTTATACCACCACTGGGCGCCGGAAGGGTGCCAGCGGCAACTGAGCGCAGCCATTATTCCCACCAAAATAAAGGTAAACCTTCACGCCAAGCTTAGTTGATGCCCAGGTCACCAATATGACATCTGCTTTGAAGGTAGGTGCCAGTTTGGTCCCGTCATCTTTTCCATCAAGTTCGATGCAACTTACATACCAGGGTTATTTCGGGTCTGACAACGGATATGACATTAATTTTTAAGCGCAAGCGCTGACGTAGGACACTGCAGTCATCCACGATCAGCTGAGGCTAAGTCTGAGCAAGGGGATCACTTCCTCCCGGTTTCAGTCTCAGCAGAGCGCTACATGGCGCTGGCGCTGAAACATGAACGTCCTACGCGTGATCGAACCTCCAAAACAGTAAGGCTGCGTTGATACCTTGCGGCAGCTTCTACCAGCGTTCATCAGCAACCGAGAATAGAGGGTATGGGGAAGTAGGAGGGTAGGGGTAGCAAACAGCTGGATTAAGGCGTCGTGAAATTGCGGCGTGTGCAATCGCACCGTACAACTACACTACACCGTACATTAAATTGCATAATTCTGTGCTTTAGCAGTTGTACGGTGCGGTTGCACACGCCGCAATTTCACGACGCCTGATCCAGCTGTTTGCTACCCTCCTACTTCCCTATACTCTCTCCCAGTGGCTGATGAGCGCTGGTAGACGCTAGACCGATATCTATACTTTCCTAGTCGCTGACGCTGTCAGACGCTCGGAACGCTAGTGGTCGCTGGTGGACGCTGGTAGACGCTGGTGGATGCTGCCTCAAAGTTTGAACGCAGCCTAAAGATTTTGGTGGGGAAAGCTGCAGCCCCGGCGCTCAAAATTGATAGCGTATTTGTAATCAAACTGTCAAGTGACCCATATGTGAAAGTTTAATATAAATCTCAGTAAAGATGTAGCGTTGAGATTGAAGCGGCGCCACTCTGACGCCACGAAGCGCCGCCGTCAAAAACGAATGTCTGTGACCAGAGGCCTGCGTACCCCCTGCTTGATTATAGTTTCAGGTGGAAATCTTTTTTTGGAACTGTCGGTTAATGAAAGTTGAGTACTGCCGTCATCATACGGTGCCTTTCGGTGGTGCGAAAGTCATTCATCTCCACAGGTTGTCAGCCTACTTAACGCAGGTACACTTTGTAGCACTTGTTCAAAAGAAGCAAACTTTCACAGCTTAAAGAATTCTAGTCTTCACACGCTCCATGGTCACATTCCTCCTATCGTTGCTCCAAGTCGGAGATTAGCACCTTGTGCACGACATAGAATTCACTCTTGTGCTGATGATTTGGTGTAAATCCCTCGCTAGTCTTAAAGACACATTTCGCGCTTCTGGGCCCCTTCCGAATCGTATGCGTGAGCAATGGCGCCAGACTTCTGCGATTGCCGGGATCCTTCTCCTCTCCTCCTCCAATCGATTTCCAAATACCGATAAGCTTGAACGGCGGCTACTGTGTGTGGTCCCAATCGATTTTTTCACTTTTGTTGTAAGTGCCACTGCACGACTTTCTTGCCCGCGTTAGAGTGATCTGTCTCTAAGCGTCACTGCGTGTCAATTCACAGTGTACTCCTCTGATTTAAAATTACCCTAACCTTATATAGAGCATTAAAAAAAACTGAACCCGGTGCCTAGTTGGTCCGCGAGAGTATTTTTTCTCCCAGGTAGAACCGTACGCCCTTTCCCCTTTGCTCATGAGTGAAAATGAAGTGCTGAATTACTTTTACAAGCGAGTATTATGAATATGGGTCAGCACACATCTTTCCTTTGATCCAACATTATCGACCGCGCTGTTTCATGCTAATTTTGCCTGTCGTACAAATCTGATGGCACGTTTAACAAACCTCGTGAATAATCTCTTCTCGAATGACACAACCACGTGAACGCTTGTGAATGGTAGTGCACGGTGGTACGGGAAACTCGTGTTCATTCAAAAACTTAATCGAAACGAAGTCATATGAGGTAGGAAAAACTTTTTTATCTCCATGTATGAGAAGAAGTGAGTAATTAGCGTTCCCATGAAGAAAAAAAAACTCGGAAGGAACCCCATAAATTCTCCAAACTCTACTGGTCCTTTCTGGCGCCATTGCAAGGATACAGTGATCGTGGAGTCGCTGACCCCAAGGCGCTCCTCATTGGTGCGTTTCACATCTATTCTCGCATTTCAAGGAGAGGCGCACTAATGAGAAGGGCTTGGTGGTAAAAGTGACTCCACCTACATGACCTGTTTGTAACGGGTCTCCAAAACTAATTGGTCCTCACAGCAATTATGCAGGCCAAAAAAGCTCTAAAGCCCCCAGGTTCACTGTTACTGTCAAAGTGTTTGGCTGCTACTATATGAGTAACGCTAGCCTATGCCTATATTAATGAGAAAGTAAGGAGAAATATCAAAAACACAATCACATGATCGGGGAATCCCATGTATTGATTGCCCAACAGCCGTGCTCCATAGCCCTATTGTGTTCATATAGCACTAAGGACAAAAAACTATCATCAAAATCATCCTCTTGCACTAAATAATCGGGCCAAATACTATCGATTTCAAGAGTATCCCCGCTGAATAAACTCTTTCTCAACACAATGTCTCACTAGGACTATCAAAGCTAATGAAAGAACTCCGTAGTAAAGTTGAGGAAAAGCTGCAACGAAAACGAAGTCCTCAAACAAGTAAACGCCCACTCCTAGGGCAAACCCCTCAGCCACATTTTTGAGCCGTCGAGGTTGCAAAATAGAAAAAGGATGACGCGAAACAAACCACGCTTTATAGCGTCTTTTTCAGTCCCTTCGTCTTTCCTTTTTATGCCACTACGATGGGCCAAAAACAGCGCCTTTTTTCTATTTTCGCGTTTTTGTTTCTAGATTCGATGTCCCTATTTTTCGGGGGCTAGCTAACCCTCCATGGTCTTCTAGATACTCTCGGTCACGTGACAACTAAGACTTTTCTTGGGGTTCCTGGCGCGAAAGGCCAGAGCGTAGAGTAATGAAGGACGTCGGCAGGCATGGCATTGAAATGTGGAAAAAACATACCGCAAGTCAGGGGGTAGGCTTTTCTCACAGTAGTGGATCCCGGGTGGATGAACAGCTTACTACGTGTGAAATGTTGAAATGTGTAAGGTCTCAGTGGCCAAAGATGTCATGTAACGTGAGCGCAGAGAAAAACAGAAAGTTGTCGGGATCAAAGGGATTGGGTTCTAGTTGTCCGCAGGCCAATATTCTCACAGCCATGCATAGTGAAAAATGTCTTGGGAGCTGCTTAAAACCAATTTGTAAATTTAACAGTAAAGAAAGGAAAGAACGGCTCCCAATGCCTAGAGTCGGGTGTATCTGTCTATACAGATATGTGAAGTTCAGAGTAACCAGGCATCGAATAAGGATACATAGAAGGTGGCGTCACATCTGCCAAGAAATTGTAAAGTCCTGAACAGTATAAAGCCCAGCGACCGCCGCTGCCTCACCCCTACTGTTTCTTGAGGACCCAGTAGGACTTAAAACGAACACAGGAATAAACGGTCGTTTGGCACTGTCACTGGTTGCTTATACTGTCACACTATCATTAGCTTATCATGCAGGTTATCTTACGCGCCTGCCAAGCTGGTTGACTTATCGGAATCACTGATCTATATATCGTATTTCAGTAATTGAAGAACTGTATCAAGCCGTGAATATTAGTATTCCTGTTTCTCAAACGTGGCAGACGGGCAAGAGAATCGTTATTTGCCGCTCCGCCGCGCGCGGCGATGGCGCGGCGTTTTCTTAACTCGTGTTAACCTGTCGATTGGAGCACCGGACTTCATGTAGACCCCGTCATCGTAGACATTCATGACTATTTTCGGTTCTGAATTGCCTGTTGTCGCCATCTACTACCTGGAACCATCGTCATTTGCGGGCGCGACGTCGCACGCGACGCCCACCAGCGCGGTGAATTACGATTCTCTTGTCACATACCCGGCTGACATGTTAGGCAGGAATCGCGCCAAAGGACATTGA